ATATTTGATACAGTGAATCAAATGCTTAAAATTCATGATAGTGTACATTGTTTGATTGTAATAAACGTGAGTTGTTAAAATGTAATAGGATAACAACTGTTGCTAATTATTAAAAAACGTGGATTCTTAAAATATAATAGCTTTTAAATTGTTGCTAGTTTGTTATTTTTTTCTAAATATTATGGTTATTAAAATATTTTATTTGGCATGATCTGTTTTTGTAAGAATATACATATCACTAAATTCAGTTTAATCCAATCAAATCCGATCGAATCAAAATAGTTACGCTAGCTGGACCGGTTTTGCAAACACGGCTCTAAACAGATTCTGCTTCTCTAATATGTTAAGAAGCATAACTAGTTCAGACGCATTGGTGAATCTGTGAGAGAGCTTGAGGCAGCTATATCCTAGACGAAATCGAACCCTTTGTTCCCAAAGGTTTTCACTTTTTACTATCTCTAATCATGATTTGAAACGGAGTGTGTAGTTGTAACAATCTGGAGAAAACTTCAGGGTTTAGAGAATTTATCATCGTACACTCTTTCACAGGGAAAAGATTATGTCTACGAGCATTTCATGAATAACTTAACGTTGATTATACTCATGTGATTCTTTTTGTTAGAGGGAGGAGACAAAGCCTATTCAACTTTTAACATGGAACATCTGGCAATCGAAAGGTTTATCTTATTTTGTTAGTAAGACTGGTATCAGGTGCAAGACTACCAGCTTGATCTTTTCAGCACCAAATGCTCAGTGGCCACAAGTGTTAATAAATCAGCGGTTTTCAGCTGAGTATGACGATGGTATAATATTCTTGGAAAAAAATTGTAAGTTGTTCTGATTCATTTTGAACTAAGAATAGGCGGTCACTCGAGCACATGTGGTTAAATTGCTGAAGCGCAGGAGCTATTCTCATGTGATTTATTCTGCCAGAGAATGTCTCTGTAACGGACGAAATATATCATAATCTTCAGTTGAATGAATTTAACATATATATAAACCCATATCACCTGAATAGACTCATGTAATTGCTCTTTATGCAGCGTGTGTTTTAAAATTTGTGATAATCCATAACTCATACACCAAAGCTACAAGCAAAATTCTTGTCTTCTGTTCTTGTTTAAAGTAATACTCCATCAGTTTTATTATAAGTGTCATTTTAGGTCTGTGCATACGGATTAAGGAAACAATTAAGTTTGCATATTTTCTATATAAAAACATAATTACCCATATAGCTAACCATATTTCAATCAATAGAAAAATAAATTACATAATAAAATTAACAAAATTTGCACTGAAAACCGAAAACAACACTTATTTTGTAACGAAAAATATTCTCTACAACGACACTTAATATGAAACGGAGGGAGTATTTATTTTTTTTTGTAATTGCTCTTTATGGATCATGTTCTTTAATTTGTGATTATCCTCACTTACAGAAGCTAGGACCAAGTTTTTGTCTTTTGTTCTTGTTCAAAGTACCATTTTCTAAAGAATTTGAATCATGGTAATCACAAGTCACCCCTGTTTGATTTGTATTTTGGTGAAACAGAGAAACAGTTGAAACTAGACGTCTCAACAGCAAGGTTAATTTCCTCCCCAAGCATGAGTTTGACATAAGTTTTCGAATCTAAACAGAAGCTAGAAACAGAAATCTATACATCTACGTCCTTCTCTTCTACAGATGTTGTAGCTGCGATATAAAGATCTAAACGAGCACAAGGACCGTAAGCTATACAATTACGTAGTTATACTAGTACTTAACCTTTTATTTACCTCTCCAGATATGCCTTGAATAAATTATAAATTATCTTCCAGAGATATTTTATGAATGACATTGATACTTGATAGTATTGTATTTACATGTTATAGGTGAGCTCTGGGAAAGAGTTTGGTGCTTGACTGCTTGTACGTATTCCATAGTTTGTGCAGATGCCCCCAAACAATATATGGTCATAGAAGATCATCAGCATCTTCGAGGTAAGTTCGTATTGATGCAGATGGTTTGTCACTATATGTTATAAAAAGTTAATTCTAGCATTTGCGTTTGCGAATAGATGAAAAAGAAACAAAACCGAGTGGTATGCCTTCAAATTTCAGTCACAATCGATTCAATAAATGGGGGGTTTTTGATGGATAAGTAACAGAAATGAATTGAATTGCTGGATCGAGATATTTCCTTTGGTTGTTTTGAAATTGAATTCTCTTTGTTGTTTGTTGTTATACATCGTTGTTTTTGTCCACGTTTCTTTAATTTGACGTCAGGTAAAAACAAAGAAAGCACTTAGCTCGTGGGGACTGTGTTGATAGTTTTAGGCATAATCTTTTGCTCTTTTTTGGTATATTTCGTTTTTTATTCTGCACCAATTGAACATACTGTATTTGAGGAATAGGTCTAGACATTTTACCCGATAAAGAACCCAAATCCAAATCTGACCTAAAATGCCCGATTTCAAACCTGATCAGATCTATAAAAATATCTGAATAGGTATTGATTTAGAGGAGATTGGATATCTGAACCCGATTGAGTAATATCCAACATATGAAGGATATCTGAAATTGTATATAGTAACCATAAATCTAAAATAGCTTAGACTAAACTTAATCATGTCTCTGTCGTGGATTTGATAGTTCCATTTTTAATTTTTCTGTACCTTTCAATTTTATGAGGGGATACATTCTTCTTCTAAAATTGCTCTAGTGAAGTATTGCTCTTCATCTTTGAGTGCTTTTGCTTCGTTTTTGGTTAACAACCTATTTTTGTTGTTGTGTGTTTAATACTTATTGTTTTTTCTTTGAATACAAACTTACTTTCATTAATACTCAATCTTCTTCAATACAATAACAAGAGGGAATTAATTTAATTTATCATCTAACGTCCGTGTAACCTTAAGGGTTAACGATGTGGTATCATTTTAAGAATTAAACAATCAAAAACGAAACTTCTAATTTACACGTACTCTTCTCTTCTTTCTCTTCTCATTGAGAATCCTAATTCATCTCGTCTTTCTCTTTTCATTTTTTTTTTGCCAAGGTTCTCTTTTCATTCATACTAAAGCTTCATATCATCTCTTCTCCCAATCGTTATCATCTTCTTCTTTTTTCTCCTTCGTGTTAAAACTGCAAATCATTTTTTTACTGATATGGTGATAAGGAAAAAGCTTCCATTAATATTACATAGGGGCAGAGGTAGAGAACCTGAACCTCAACCTATTGTTGAGGGTGATAAAATAGGGTTGACTGTATTTAAAAGCTATGACGGAGATGAATGTGGACCTGTACTCAGATGATTATTGTGAGGCTATTGTTGATGATCCTGGTGATGAGATCGAAGAATATGGGAATGAGGTTTCAGAAGAAGAAGGATGTGCCGTACAAACTGAAGAAGAAGCTTGTGAAGTTTTCTCATCCCACTTTGGAGATGTTGCAAGTAATGATGGAGACGAATACGATGAAAGTGGAGATGATGATTGCTGGAATGAAGATAATATGCCTGATTATGTATCATCTGATGATGAGGAAAAAGATGTGCGAAGAGAAGCTTGTGAGGATGCAGCATCAGGCGATGAGGTCTTTAGCTTTGGGGAAGATGTTTTCGTATGCATCAGAGTTCAAGCAAACTCTTCTTAGGTATTCTCTGAAAACAAGATATGATTATATGATTATATTCTCTTCATATCAACAAATGAAGCTTGGTGGTGGAGTATTTTGTTCATATGAGAAGAGGATGGTTGTTGTTAATGTTGGGTCACCTTCATCGAATCTGCTTTCCCTATCTTTACATCTTTTTCTGAACATTTTCTTTTTGTCAGCTTCTTTTTCTAAACATATAAATATTTCCTTCATCCGTTTGCAAAATTTACTACACAAAAATTAAAATTACTCACTAAATGTTGTCAAATATTAAGAATAAAAAAGAAAGAAAGCGAAAACTTACAGCCACAAATCATCTCCAAGAAGCATCTTATCTCCATCATCGTATATGGAAACTATTTTTTATTGATTGTGCATGTGCAACTTGCCTTTGATATCGAAGAGTTTTTCTAGTTCATCTATCAAGTGATTGTACCCATAAAAAAAAAACAGATAAATCCACGGTTATTTCTACGGCACCTTCCATATGAACCTTCTCAATAACCATATCAACAACATATGAACATTATATCCATCTCAATCTATCAAAATATGCAATTTAATTTATTATTTTTGAACACTAATTTTTATATTAAATTAAAATTTCAATGGGCTTAGCTGAATACATATGGTGATGGAAAGAACATTTGAAGTCGGCTACACAAAGGAGAGAATTAAACCCGTAGAGAAGTTTCACTTGAGATCCTAGTGCTTATACTAAGAAAGAAAATTTTGAAGTCGGATTTCGAACCGCCATTGAAATACCCAACTGATGGGGTTTGAGAAACTGATAGGGTTTGAGAACGGTTTGTAACCCTCTCTGGAGATGCTGGACTGTTGGCGGCAAGAGTTTCGAAAGTCCAGAAATGTAGCCAAGGGAAGTATAATGAGACCTTAAATGTCTGAATTTGGAAATAACATCCAATTGTAGTGTAGCAAAGACTAACTCAAAGGGTAAGAAACCATGAGAACAATCACCGCATTGGACCTTGAGAGTAGGACTAACACCCCCTTTATCAGAAAAGGTCCAGGCCCAAATGCGTGAGGAATGAACGGTGGATTATTATTATTAGAGGGGGCGCGAACCAGTACCAGCCACCAGGCTGTGCTCACCAGAGCCCTGAGGAGATTCACCGAAGCATGACAGAGAGGATACAAATGGTTTCCGGCTCTAACTCATTGACGAGACACCAGGAGTAACCGTAATGGAGAAGAAGAAGATAAGAAATGTAACATAAATAGTTAAATTTATTTCATACATAATAAATAGTTTTAAATTTGACTAGTAAATAAAAAACAAGAAGATGGTGATCTATTTCATGCATTATTACGACTTCTAGCTTGGGTGTCAGTCAAGCTTTTCTTCTTCAAAGATGTTTAGAAATCTTTGGTTTTTTATGTGAGTTAATTGGTTTTACGGGATCCTTTGTATTCTCCGGAATTGTAAGATCAACTCCAAACAGTCGGTAGCTAGTAGCCCCGGTGGTGGTTGACATTTCTTTTTCCGCTTGAAGCATTTGCTCATTGTAGTTTGGTTCGGCCATGGTAGGTAATGAGCAGCTCATTGAAGATCGTGCGCTTGAATTTCCAACTTCTTGACCTTGGGTCAATGTAGGAACCGACATATTTGAACCTATAAAAAGAAATAAAATGATAACTAATTCACAAAGAAGGTTTAACTTATTGAGTAGTAGTGTGTACTTACCAAACTCATATACTTCGTTTTGACGTTTATTTTTCACTAAATCTGATTCGAGAAGGTTTGATGAATGTGTTGAAAGCTCAATTTCCCATGGAGATACCTTATCAGGTCTTGGAATTGTTGCATGTTTATCCCAATGAACCTATAAAATAAAGTTAGCGGATATTATTTAGAGATTACACCTTTAAAAATATATTCTAAGATAGTATAATCAAAGTGGAACTAGTATTAATCTTACTTCTAGACTTCGCCATTCTGAATCCTTCCAATGAGTGGAGAAATCGCTCACTCCTATTATTGTTCCACGGTATCTATTGTAATATATAAAATCATTTGTGTAGTAATCATATTTTAAAAAACGTAAAATAAATTTTCAATATTAACCTTATTTCATTAAAGTCACTTCCTTCGAACTTCATCGAAAACCTGGAGCCTATACTGAATTTCTTATTCACTCCATCAAAAACTTTATCGAAGTTGACAAGGAATTGGCTTGACCTAATATCATCACATCAACAATAAGTAAAAATGTATTTGTTGAATAAACTATTTTCATAGTGTTTAATTAGAGTAACAAAATGATTTTCTTTACCTTGGTTTATAGAACACAACGAACATAGATTTGTTTTTAATAGCATTCGATGCAGTAACAACAACACCATGGTGCATACTCTCTTTTGAAAGTTTGTTGCGTTGTTGATGATAAGCTATTTTTTGGATTCCAACTCGCGATTCCCCATTCTCTCCTCTATGATAAAAAATAGTAAAAATCCAAAATCCAAGAAAAAAATAGAAGTAAACTGAAAAAAAATATATATACCGAAGGAAAACAAAAGAATCTCCAGCTATCAAATCTTTTTCTTTTACGAACTCATTCCAACCAGATGTGAAAAGATGTTTTTGTGGTGTACCTAATTGATTTTTTGTAAGAAAATAAATATAAGTAATCAATACTCGTAATGATATGAATAAAAATTTGTGGTTACCTCTTAAAGTATGTTTAAATTTCCATTCTTGACCATGAATATCTTTAGCAATTATCTCTTGACTCGGCGTTGGCTGAGACATATCCTAAAGAAAATATTTGATATAAAATTTGATATAACATTTTACAAATTGAATCAATGTAATTCAGTGATCATACCAGCGGAGGAAGACATTCAATGGCATGTCTTTTAATCAAAGCAAAACGACTCATTTTGTCGGTATCAGAGGCACTTAACACCTTAGTGAAATATTTAATGTTTTGTACGTTGTTTTCATGTTTAGGAGTTTGGATTTCAACTTCCTAACAAAATAAAAACTCATGATATTAATTTAAAGAGATATTAAGAAGAGCTGCAATCAAATTATTAAAGATAATTTATTATTTTGCTACTCACAGATGTATCAGGCAACAAAGAAATTTCTGCATAAATTTCATCTGTAGAGGTCTCTACCTAAGGCCATACAAAAATATACCCCAAGCAATAGCATTTACATTCAGTTAGTATAGCTCCAAAAAACATCAGTATAGTTCATGTGCATTTTATAAATAAGAAACATAAATAATCAATAAGTCATACCTTAAGCTTGATACTAAAAACATTGCAACAAATTTTTGAAGGAATGTCAAAAACTGGTTTGAGTTGACATAGTTCATCGTTTATAGATGTAAGCTGGTATCACAAAAATAAATAAAAAATAAATAAAAAAACTAGCTGGTATCACAATAAAATTTTGGAATAAGTTTTGCGAATCAAAATTTATCTGAAAGAAATAATTGAGTAAAAAAAATTGTTGCCTGTTCTAGATGCCCTTGAGGAAAGTAAAATACTTTTTCTCCAACTTTTGGTAGATCAAACAGAGGACCAGCACACAACTTCCATAATTGACCATACAAATAGTTATTGATTCCATCTGTAGCTATACAAACAGTCAGAATACAATTATGGATAAATATTTTTCTTCAGTCGGAAACCAAAATCAAATCGAAGAATTTCTCACATATACCTATTAATTCAGGTTGGGCATGCATGCTTTGATTACTGGCCATCAGCTCTTATCCAAGCACTGATCTATTTCCACTTGCACAAAAATAAACAAATCATGATTAGTTTTGTTTTATTAATATGGAAGTGTACCTCAAAAAAAAATAGATATTATTACTTGAAAATATTTATATTTAGCTTCGTAATTTTTCTCATCCTTCTATAACATTGTTATAGTTTTCATAAAATTTTGTAATATATATATACAAGTTTCTCTCTTTGAATTTTTTCTTTTGTTTAAAATACATTTAAAATAAATCAGGAATTATAAATTTAAATTTTATGTATTCTAAAACAATATAATATCCTAACTCGTCATAACATAAGGTAAGGCTAATTCCATTGGACACCAAACACACAAAATTTGGTGTAGTTATATCTCCAATAAAACATAAAAATGACACCATCCCACAAAATATAGTGTAGGATGAGTAGTGTTACACGAAATTTGGTGTAACACTATTAATCACACCAAATATTTATATACATATTTTATTTAATAATAATTTCAACTATTATTTTTTTCAAATTTATGACAAAACATAATATATTATATTATTTATATAAATTTGTTTTTACATATTACAATATCTTTAATTTTATTTTCAAGTAAAAATTACTACATATTTATTATCATTTATTTTAGTTTTTTTTTAAATAAAATATTAAACTAATATATAATTAATATCTTTGTAATATAATTTAAATATGATTCATATTTTATAATATTTTTAAACCAAAAATATAAATCTAAATAAATTTTATAATATAAAATTATAAAAATTAACAAACATAATATTAAAGTGTGATAAAATAATTATTTATCAATTAATAATAAAAGTAAAAAGTTTAAAAATTAAAACATAGAATAATATATAATATTATTTTTGCAGTAATATTTGATATTATGGTTGGAGATGACAAAAAATATTTGACACTAAAATATCAAATATGGTGTAGTTTCAACACAAAATTTAATGTTATGGTGAGAGACTTAGAGTTGTCTAAGCATATTACCTTTCGACGAATTGATGAGAACTTTTGATGTTTATTTATTTTGTTCGAACAGTTCTGTTTTCTTATGATCTTTATTTTTGTATGATGCATAAATTTTGATGTGTCTGTATNTAGAGTTGTCTAAGCATATTACCTTTCGACGAATTGATGAGAACTTTTGATGTTTATTTATTTTGTTCGAACAGTTCTGTTTTCTTATGATCTTTATTTTTGTATGATGCATAAATTTTGATGTGTCTGTATTTATAGGTGAAACATTACCTCCTACATCAATATGTATTCGAATATGAGTTTTGACTAATAATTTCAACATTACCAAAAAGTTTTGGGTCAAAGATGTATCTTTATAAATATCAAAAATTCTTTAATATCAATAAATTATGTTTCTAATATATATATATAGTAGTGTTTGACCAAAAAAAGGAAATTATTATAATAGTGTTTTAGATGACTACAGAGGACATGGGGCATCCCCACCTCATAATTATATTGCCATCCGTAAGACAAGTGAAAGAAAGGTGGAGTCTACGGATCCTCTACTCGAGAGTTAATGCATTTTCCTATTTCATTAATAGGAATATCACAAAACAGTCATTACAAGTGATGTTTACTAGGTCCATTCTCCCATCATTTACATTGTTAGGAAATTTCAAAGAAAAGAATTAGAAATTACATTTGATTGATTTAGAAAACTTAAATAGGCAAACTACAAATTAGTAAATATTTAAATAAAAAGATAACTATCCATTATCCATAATTAATAAAAACAAATACTTCCTCCATTTTTAATAGATGTCGTTTAAATATTCTGCACATAGATTAAGAAAATATTTAATTTCGTACATTTTCCAAACAAAAACATCATTAATCATTTACCTAACCACAATTCAATCAATAAAAAATAGAAGAGAAAATATTATTGGTCATTCAACATTGACTATTAATAAATTTTATATAAAAATTGAAAACATCCTCTATTTTGAAACAAAAAATTTATCCTAAAACGTCAAATATTAAAAGTGGAGGGAATTATAAATCTCTAATACCTAGGAAACATTCTAAGTTAAGCTCCACTATTCCTAAATTATAGATTGACTTTGAATTAATCAACATTGTTTTTACAAGATTCACACATTTATAGGCAGTGACCAAATGGATCCACTTGTTTAAAATTAATTAAAAAGAAAATTCTAATCTAATCATTTACTAAAGTAGTAAGGTAATTTATAATGACAAATCTAATATTCAAATTTGTTTGAAACTATGTAAGACATGTATAGTCAAAAACGTGATTACATGGTAAGTTTAAGGTATTTTATCTATTAACATATCCTTCTTATCATACATCATAAAAATTTCTTTTCTTATTCATTATTTGTCTTATCAATAAAAAAGTCTTTCCAAAAAATATATTACTCACAAATTAAGAAGCAAATTTTGATATAACATTGCATAAATGGAAATAATCTTACATTGTTTGTCTTTTCAAGTATATCACATAATACATCAATTGATTGGTAATGTCAATAACAGTGTTATGATTTTTAAAATAAAAATTTATCAAATTTAATTACCAGAAGTAATAAGAATAAGATATTGCAAACTATTATGTTATTCTGGTTGTTGTATTTAACATGAAATAATTATTAAACCTTATGTAAATTTTTTGGTCCTAAAAAATTTATTCAGTTAAGGTTTGAGTCTTTAAAGTATTCAACTAATGTTTTTTATAAGTAGTTTGTATCAAATATTTCAACAGAAAAATCCTTGAATAAACAAATATAAATAGAGAAAAACTTGCGAATAATTAATTGTTACATAAAAAATAAACCATTAAATGTTATAACCGATTGGTAAAATCACACACATTGAAGTTTCTATGCATGTTTCGTGACCTCATTTTATTATGGACAAGTTAAGAAGAAAATTTTGATATAACATTACATAAATGGAAAGAATCTTACATTGTTTGTCTTTCCAAGTATTATCACATAATACATCAATTGATTTGTAATGTCAATGAAATAATTATGATTTTTTAAGATAAACATTTATTGAATTTAATTACCAGAAGTAATAAGAATAAGATAATGCAAACTATTCTGTTATTCTGATTATTGTATNATACATCAATTGATTTGTAATGTCAATGAAATAATTATGATTTTTTAAGATAAACATTTATTGAATTTAATTACCAGAAGTAATAAGAATAAGATAATGCAAACTATTCTGTTATTCTGATTATTGTATTTAATAAGAAATAATTATTAAGCATTATGTAATTTTTTTGGTCCCAAAACTTTATTCATTTAAGGTGTGATTCTTTAAAGTATTCAACTAATACTTTTATAAGTAGTTTTGTATCAAATATTTCAACAGAAAAATCCTTGAAAAAACAAATATAAATAGAGAAAAATTTGTGAATAATTAATTGTTACATGAAAAATACACCATTTAAAAGTTATAACCGATTGGTAAAATCATACACATTGAATTTTCTATATATGTTTAAGTTATTATCCTGATTCATTTTATTAAAAAAGGCCACTTTGTATAGTTTAAATTTTTTATGTAGAGTGTCTTGTTATTATTTTAAATAAGTTTATATATCACAAAAGAGAAAAAAACATATAACCTTTAACTTTCCATAGATTTTTAAAAATGTATAATATAAAAGAATTTTTTATGTCACAAAAAGAGAAAAAATCATCGTATTATTGTTTTCAAAGAAGTTTATAACATTTATTGTTTATTTGTGATTTTTTTTTAATTTTCTAACTGTAATTATTGAATCTCCATAAATTCTTATATAGAGGACTAACTGTTGCAAGGATTGGCTAACACCAAATGTTGCAACTTTTTATCACCAAAAATTGTAGTCATGAATAATTGTAATGGTTCACTCCAAAAGTTGCAATAGTTGATCACTATTTGTAATGTTTCATTTAATAATTTGTAGCTGTTTCACTAAACACTTGCAATGATTCAGTTAAACAATTGCAAAGATTCACATAAATAGCTAATAATCCTCTCTTATTTACGTGTAATATTGATTCACTAAATAAATAGCACATTATATCAAACTGATGAATAAAAGAGAATGTTTCAACCATTTCAATTATTGGGATGAAATACACATATTTATAAA